GACACTGTCCAAACATTTTGGGGTTGCCTTGCCAGAAGAGTGGTGGCTGTTCTAGCTGCCAGGTGAAGGCAACTCTATATCAAAGCTCCTGGTTTTGGAATGGGATATCCAGCATGTAGGTATGATGGTCAGGTGTCTAAACCTTTGGCCATATATCATACATAGGCAAACAGCGGCTTATTATCTGAATGGCAGTAGGCTTGTGGATGCCTGTTTTTAGATGAATCCTTGAGGCAAACACTTCAGGTATCTATATTGTTGCTGCATTAGTTATAGATGATATTTAGTATTAAGCGATGGCGTATATTTGGCATCTCAAAACGTAGAATGTTTTTTTTCCTGAGTTGTGTTCAGTCATGGCTATGCACGCTGGCAAGACATCCAGAATGATGTACGATATGCCATTCTCAACGAACCCTTCAAGGGGGAGGTGAACAGAGGAAACTTCCTGGAGATCAAGAACAAGTTCCTGGCACGGCGATTCAAGGTAAGTCCGGCATGAATGCAATGTTCGGACAGTCCTGTTGGGCATTGCTCTTGGTGATTTGACACTGCAGAGATTATCTACAGAGTGACCGTTTCTGTTCTACTCATAATCATAGTTTATAACCATTCACTTAAAAAGTTGCATGACTTTTTAGGGGAATCTTATCGATTGGGCTTGTATATAGGTTCTCGCCCTTTTTACCGGAGAAGTAAATAGAAGAATAACAGGACTCGGTGCCTGTAAACCCAGAAGGTAAAGGTGCGGTGATATGCTTTTAGAAGTTCAGGACTGTTCTCCTGTTTGTCCTCAAATGGATCTATTTGATGTGTCAACGGGCTTTTGTTCGCCTCAGTCTAATTTTGCATTCCCGTATAAGAATATGCGGTTGCAAAGCCCGCTTAAAGCAGTTCTGCAGGTTAAATGCACCTATTAATGGATTCTGAATGCACTCGGAAGCGTCTAAAACTGACGTTAAAGTTGTGCCATCAACACAAACCCAAGGCCCCAAGATTATTGATCCTTCTAGTTTCTACTTGCATGCCGGGCCTTTTGTGTTAGCCTGTGGCTAGCATTGTCACCCTACTAAATGCCTTAGTAGTGTTGTCACTCTGCCATGCAAGCTCCTGTATACGGACTAGAGCAGGTGTAGCTAAACATCAACCTTCCAGCTGTGGTGACACTCCAAATCCTGTCATGCCTGTGGCTGTCAGAGACTTTCAATGCCTTACAGGACTTTTAGTTCCACAACAACTGCAGGGTCAAATATTGACTGCCCCTAGAGCATGGTGTACTTGCAAGGTCGAGTAGTTGTTGCCCTATAGCTACACCTGACTGGGAGTCTAGAAGTGTTTGATTGCAAGTTGCTGGCTTCTCTGCCTTTTTTTAAGCAGCCAGCGGTGAAGTTACTGGCTTTCCTTGTAGGCGAGATGAAGCCACAGCTGGTCACATCGCTGGTCCTGCAGACTGAGCACAGTATATTGGTCACGTGACTGTGAAGGAAAAGCTCTTGTTGTGGTTTTCTTTTTGTTTTTCTTTCATACAATTCACATGGAATGCTTGTTGAGTGTCTGCAATGCCTGTTAGCTTCCTCCTTAAGAATGCCCATTGACTGGCTTTCATCCTTGTTCATTAACTTTTAGTATTTTAAGTAATTGGCATAACAGTTATGCAGATATAGCAGATGTCCCTGCTATATTTTGACATGCTTTTGAGCTCCGGCACTGAGGGTTAATGAGGAGATTTGGCCCTTCAGGACAGGTTACACTTGCCACTTATACAGGTTCTCACCATTTTTTGTTTCTGCATAGCTCTTAGAACAAGCGCTTGTCATAGAAGAGCAGCTAAGAAGAGCCGCCTACCTGAACATGTCAGAAGACCCTTCCCACCCTTCCATGGCTCTGAACACAAGATTCGCAGAGGTGGAGTGTTTGGCAGAAAGTCACCAGCACTTATCTAAAGAGTCCATGGCAGGAAACAAGCCAGCAAATGCCGTTCTACATAAAGGTAACTTTCATATAGAAGTCTATATCGCTGCTCTTTTTAAAGGTCCAAGCTTCTTTAGGGATATCATTCCATGGGTGGCACCCTCTATCATCTATTGATCTCTATATCCTGGCATCAAAACCACAGCTAAACATTTTGGGTGTGGTGGCATTTTTGTGCTTTGGCCAACCAATATAGCAATATCATGCTTTTGAGGTGGGAATTGGATTGGTCACAGGGGTTGCTGAATTTTCACCACTGGCTTTGACATCGTTTCCCTGAATGTTGTGCAGATGACTGAAGTTGTACTCCTTCAGACAAGACCCTTTTTAAAATCTATTTTGCCTCCTTTTTTTACACACCCTTTACTGAATGTGGTCTCCATTTCATTCTCATGTGCTAGGGATGCACCGATACCGAGTATTTGGGCTTGTACTTGTACTCTCCCAAATGCTCCGATACTTACCTCAGATACTGGAACTTCCGGTCAAAGGGAGATCTCCCTCTGACCGGCAATGCCAAGGGAGCATGGAGCCAGCTTCCTTTCCAATCAGGAACCCGGGCGGCGGGTTATAACCTGCCTCTCAGCTTCCTGATGGGCTAGGAAGCCGGCTTTACTTTGGTTAGGCAGCCTGGCTTCCTAACCAATTAGTCATGACCTGCCTCCCGGCTTCCTGACTGGCCAGGCTGCCTAGCAACAAGTTAAGCCAGCTTCCTAGCCAATCAGGAGGGTGGGTCATGTGTTGCCCAGCTTCCTGTTTGATCAGGAAGCCCGGCAGCCTAGAGAAGTGTAGCCGGTGTTCTTTCTTCCCAGGCAATCGGGCACCCAGCACTGGTATTGGTGCATCCCTACTAAAAAGTTGTAGCTTGGGGAAATCTGTTTTTAATGTGTATAGTTGCAATTTATTTTTTATTTGTTTTTTTTAAATCTCAAAATGAAAAACAATCGGGTGGCCCCCCTACAATTGCAATGCATTAATAGTCAGGACATGACTGTAGTTCTGAGGTCTAGGAGCACAGATAAGTCTGTCTGTACCATTTTTAGATTCTTATGTCTCGCTGTGCGCCTTTCTCCATCCTGGTAGTACTTAAGCAGCTGGAGGAACTATTGAGCGACATGAAGGCCGATGTCACCAGACTTCCCACCACCATCGCCCGAATTCCACCTGTGGCTGTTCGACTGCAGATGTCAGAGAGGAACATTTTGAGCCGACTGGCGAGCAGGACCGGAGAACCTCAACCCCAACAGGTGACGTCCCCTTTCTCCGGTAGTTTTTGTTCAGCATGTCTATTATTTCCACAGAACGGCTTTCTAACCAGTCTCCTTTTTTTCTTCGCATTAGATGGCTCAGCAATAATGAACACCCTCCTCTGGTCAGGAGGTCAGTGTCCACCCACCCCAAACATTCCCAACCAAGAGCAGAGGGCCCGGGGAAAGGGAATTGGACCGGTTCACCGAATAGTCATCCAGGGAGAAGACTCAGCAGAGCTGAACCCCACCCCGGGAACATTTTATTAGAGGGTCACAGAAGCCCTGGTCCTGCAAGGTGTCAGTATGACCGCACAAGCCTGGAGGCAGATCGTATGGTGCTGCTGCTGCTTCACTAATGGGGTTCCCCTCTCCCTCAGGGGTTCAGGTTGCATCGAATGCCCCAAAGGCCAGAAACTCGACCTGTGCACAGAAGCTGCTGCCTGGGTTCAGAAGGAAATACTTTGGTTATTTTTTTGTTTTTGTTTTGGTCTTTAATTTTATTTGCTCCTATCCCCTCACACTGCCCGAGGGGGGCAGGAGGGGTGTCAACCAGGACAGACACCCTACCTCCATCCTTTTTAATACAGAACGCGTTGTCGTATAATAAAACACAAAATGCTATTGAGATGTTTCCTGACTCCTGTATGCTGATGAGCGGTTTAGCAGATGGCACGGTGCCACAAGGTTGCTGAGGGAGGGGGGCAAGAAGTTTACTGCCCTACAAAAAATGTTTCCTGAGCTCTATCTCCTGGAAGTTGTGTGCCAGTATAGTCTTTAGTCTATCAGTGTCTCACCAGTCATATTTAGACTCCATTCCCAGTGTGAAATGGTATACTGAACCATTAGTGCCAGCTCCTGGTTGGGCAGGTAAAGCTAAGTCAATACGTTTCGTGCTTGATTTGCTTTGAAGGTCCTGCGCAATGAGAAAAATGTTAGGTGGCCATGACCGACACCTTCTGTGAATCCCAAGCTGTCATACTGATCCATAGGCTTCAGTACTTTGTGGAATTGACCTGAAACAAATATGCAGCTTATGTTTTCACTAGCTCCATGCTTGCTCTAGGTCAAGGATGTAACGTTCTAATGTCATTCAACAGAATAACCGGGCGATTTTCCATACGTCGGGGACTGTCAATCCACGTTCATTTGAATTAAAATGCAACATTTGTGACACAATGGAATGCAGAGCAGTGTGGTTACTACGGTCAATTCAAATGTTTTTGCTGGCAGACATTTTGTCCATCTTGATGCTTAATGTCACATGGACTTCACACTTTGCAGTAGGGCTTTGTATGTACGAAGGCAGGTCAGCAGGAGGAAGGTCATGGTCATAATCCTGCTTCTGATATATTATTCAGTAGTGGGGAAAATTGTACAATCTTTTTCTGCAGCCTCGGGCACTCAATGAACTGGAAGCTCTCAGTACGGAGGTTTCCTGTTCATTCACAATCTGGAGATGGCAAATAATTTACTCAATAATAACCCAGTCATGAATGGAGAGGAAGCCTCTGTACTGAGCTGCCTCATGTTCATTCATAAAGTGAGCAGATAGTAAATTTACTATGTCCCCATTCATAAATGAACAGGAAGTGATGTATAGCACTTCCTGTTCATTCATAGCTGGGGACATAGTAATCACAATGTCCTCCGTTATTTACAAACACCAAGTGATCAGTACTGATCACTCTGAAGCGAATTTATCAAAACTGGAGCAGCTGTGCACGGCAACCAATCGGCTTCTCTCATTTTCAACTCTTAACTGGACAAACTGAAGGGAGAAGCTGGTTGTAATGCACAGCTATCCGTTTTGATAAATTCTCCTTTCTGTGTTTGCGCAGTACAGCGAAGGATTTGTAAATATTTAACATTTACCAGTCCTGAAGCTCTGCCACCTCCCACTGGAGCTTTGTTCCCCACGCTCAGCCTCCTGATGGCTTCTCTCCTCCCTGCTAGGAGCCAGCAGCTTTATCGGCTCTGTGTCCCCTCTGATCCCTGCTGCCTCTGCCAACACTGGTGGGGATCGGGGGGAGCACATGGCCATATAGCTGCACAGATTTGTGTACAGTCACCTGCTGCTAATATCTAGTCTGGTGGCTGTGTGCTGCACCCGTCACTCCCAGGTGAGAAATATGTTACACGGGAATTTGCTGCATGACTTCTGACCCTCAAGAATTGGTTATGAAGGCCACAAAGTTTATTTTGATGCTAAGTAAATACTTATCAGGATAACGGTACACACTGTATTATAATCGTCTATTATGTCTGTGAGGCCTAGAACTGACACGGCCATCTTGTAGCAGCCCCAGAGTGACTCAAAGGGTTTTCTAGGACTTGGTTGGGCTGTAGAAATTGGTTACTTGGCTTTACAAATGCATAAGCAGGTTACCCTCTGAGAACCAGGTCCTGATGTCCTGTTTTAGGGTGGCTCTTTTCCATAGCAGGGTCCTATGGAACCACCCTTGTGTCTCTCCACAAACACTGGCACAGCAAGAGAAGTCACTGCTCTGCTCCCCCCCTTCTCCAAGCTAGTATAAAGCTGCTGTAAACTGCTCCATCACTTGTGATCTTGTACTAAGCAAAGTTCGGGGAAGCAGAGCTGTGAGTTGGATCTGTTCAGAAACATGATGACTGTAAGGCCCCATTCAAACTTAGCGATTTATCGCGCGGTAATTCCCGCGATATCGCGACAAATTACCGCGCGATATCGCTCCCCAATGCTTATGGGGCAAAGGGTCCTGCTGTCGCGGGTCGTGTGTCGCTACAGCAGGACCCTTTTTGGAGCGGATTTATCCGCGATTCAAGCTTGCTCAATGCAAGCATTTGCGTGATATCGCGCGGCAAATCTCGCTCAAAATGCAACTCGCGCGATTTGCATACCGCGGAGTGTGAACCGGGCATTAGTGTTTGGGCAAAAATATGAAGAAATACTTTGTTGGCCAATGTGTATTTTGTTCTGGATGCATTATTGAAGCGCTTGAGCGTTTAATACTACTATTCACATGAGTGAAGTAAACCTTTTTCAGGTTTGAATCTTCCTCAATAGCTCGGGTACAGAAGCGGCAGGCAGACGTTTTGGGAAAAATCTCATCTCCAGACTGGGGCTTGTTCGTAGCGGCAGCCGCGCTCAACCACACGGCTGCTGGTGTGCCCGGACGGTGCCAATGTGTTTGATCGAGCCGCATTGCACGGCTTCTTTTCATTGCCTAAAGTCCTGTGGGCACACTGTGGTGCAATACGGTTGTACCGCACCTCACTGCAGTGCGCCTAAAAAAAAAAAAAAGTAGCGCGTGGTGTGAACTGTGCCCACCTGTGATGAGCTAATCTGTGTTCCCAGTCATGACCACAATGCCAACTGTAAGGGCTTCTTCACACCATCTCCGGACCAGAACTTTTTTTGTCTAGTCTAAAAACGGCTCCCCTAGGATCCCAATGGTTTTTCTGAGTGTAGTTCACACCATTGCATTCAGTTCCAGGGCTTTCAAAAAATGTCTGGCATGTCACTTTTTCTTTTCTGGTCTGGAACACACAAACGCATTTTAAAGGCACCAAAAAGCCATTTAAGACTAAATAAAAAAAATGTATGGGAACCCATCAAGTCCGCTTGACAATGTTCGCAAAAACGCATCCCGATCTGGTCGACACGGTGTGAACAAACCCCCCCCTACAGTGATCACATGCATGCTGGAGGCTTTGGGGGCAAAAGGTGCCAGTTTTACTGTAATTGTCCATTTAAGTTTTTGTGCTTTTGTCAGCGTATAAACGACAGCCCGCCTTCCCTCCGCCATTTACAATGATTTCTGGGAATTGGTGGTTGTCATGCATTTGGGCCAGGGCATCTCTGCATCATTGACCGCTGGTCCAGTTGTTCTCGCAGGCAAACCGTTTTCTTTGCGCAGTTTGTATTACACACACGATGTGCTTATAACAATTTTTTTATTTTATTTTTACTTGGTCATGTGGAAAACTAAGTACACCCCATGAAAATTGGCATCCACCTTTTGAACAGGCAAACATTAGATCTTCATTTTGGATGGTGCGCACAGGTGACGGGTGATGTATCTGAATAAAACCAAAATGAAAAGTTGCTTATTAACCTCCCTGGCGGCTTTCCCGAGTGTAGCTCGGGGTTACTTTTCCATACCATAAGCGGTAACCCCGAGCTACACTCGGGAAAGCCGCATAGCATTTACTTACCTTGTCACTCGAGCCGCGCTGTGTTCTGCGGCCGATGCCGGGTTTGGTCGCTTGCGAGCGTACATGTCGCAGGGGGGCGGAACCCGCGGGATATTTTAAAAAAAAAACCGACAGATGAAAAGAGAAGAATTACATGAAAAAAAAATCATACCGCCAGGGAGGTTAAGTGTTTATTGCACAAGTATATTAATAGATGGAAAAGAAGGGTACGGCCTCCTCCCATGAGACTCGTGATCTGCAGGAGGCCCGGTACAATGATAGTTGCTGCTGTTTGCATGTAATAGCACATGCAATTAAGTCCCTTCCCCCCCATTTTTCTAAATCCAAGCCAGTTACATCTAGAAAAGTCTAAGGATGGCTTCAGCCCAAAATGTCTGTTGGGGGGGAGAGGGGGGGGATGTGCTGCAGCCATAAGGGGTTGGACAGCCACCTCACAGGAGTCATTAGGTTCACGTGTTGCTTTGCATGTCCAGTAATGGGGCCCAGGCATACACGGTTACAGCATGGCCTTCCTGCAGTACAGCATTATACCCCTACACCCTTCCACACTAATTCAAGAGGGGTTTCCTAATTGCCTGGCTCAGGTAAAACTCCCTCTCTGCCCTCTACAAATGTCCGATCTCGGTTTTGTACATTTACCAGAATTCCATTCCCTTCATCTAAAAAAAAAAAAAAAAAGTCTTCAAAGCTTGTTGTGAGATTTCAGTCTCCACAATGCAGGACTGACTTGACGGACTGGAGAGAAGAAAGGGAAATCTGAAGGCTGCCATTGCTGAGGACTCTGGATGAGTGTGAGGAATCCCAGGTGCCTGGCTCTTGTATTAATCCAAAGGCTTCAGCATTTCTGAGTCGCTGAGCTGGAAGGTGTAGGCAGGTCAGGAGTTGTGTCCTCACTGGCTGTGAGCTTGTTCTGGGTGAGTAACTCAGACATAAGCTAGAGACAACCAGACTGCTGGAATCTTTAGTCCTGGCTCACATGGGCATCAGCTTGTAAGGGAACAGTGTGTACCACAAGTATGTGCAAAGCTTTGATGGAGCCACCCTTCATCTCCAGCAGGTTTAGGGAACTCTAGCCCTCATTGGAATAGGAGGATCGTACCCGCCTGGCCTACATGATCTCTTTATCATCGACAATGCCAGAGTTCTTGTCTTTGCGCCTGTTTCTTTGTATTTTCTGGCCAACCACAATGTCTCTGATGACCGAAAAGAAGAAGCAGCTGCTGCTGCAAGGTAGGCCCTCAGGGTCCTGGACACCTCTCGTGTGCAGATGTTGAGGTGATAAGTCTGCTGGAAAAACTTATGGCACCCAATCCTGGTACAGGTGGAAGACTAAAGCTATCTTGGGCACCAAATGAGGCCGTGTGTGCAGCTGCACCCTCTCGGGAAAGAAAATGATAGAAGGGTATTTGCGACCCAGAGCCTGCAACTCAGATCCTTCTGCTGGAGGTTATTGCTCTGAGAAATGGCTTTACTGGTGATGTCCCCAAGGGACCCATTTTCTGTAAGGGCGATTAGTTTCTTTTGCGAGCATATCTAGAACAAGAAACAGATTCCACTGCGGACAGATCTGTAGGGCCACCTTCAGAAATTGGCTTATCAGCAGATTGTTGGACCATCTTATTCTGGTGATAGCCGAGACTTGGACCTTTTACGGAACTAAGACTAACAGGCCTATTCACTAAAAGGTGAGGAGTTTGAAGAAGGCAGGAGATGTGAACAATTTAGGGGAGGGGGAACCTACATATCCCATGATGCATCTGTTTCTGGGAGTCATGCCTGTGAGAATCTTACAATGCCTCATGGGATTTGTAGTTTCACCACAGCTGGAGGGCCGGAGGTTCCCCACCCCCTGATCTAGGACAACAGCTGAACTGGAATGTGAGCTGAATTGGAGAATTTTTCCAAATCCGCTATGTTGTCCTAGATTGTTTACTTCTGCCTTCTCCAAACTCCTCACCCTTCTGTGAATAGACCTGGTAATGGAGGTATCCGAGACTTGGGCCTTCAAGGAACAAAGACTAACACCACACTAAGATAGTCTAACAGGACTATTCATAAAAGGGGTGAAGAGTTTGGAGAAGAGAGGAGAAGGGAACAATCTAGGACAACATAGCGGATTTGGAAAAATTCTCCAATTCAGCTCACATTTCAGTTCAGCTCTGTTGTCCTAGATTGTTTCCTTATCCGGCAGCCTCATGGGATTTGTAGTTTCACCACAGCTGGAGGGCCGGAGGTTCCCCACCCCCTGATCTAGGACAACAGCTGAACTGGAATGTGAGCTGAATTGGAGAATTTTTCCAAATCCGCTATGTTGTCCTAGATTGTTTACTTCTGCCTTCTCCAAACTCCTCACCCTTCTGTGAATAGACCTGGTAATGGAGGTATCCGAGACTTGGGCCTTCAAGGAACAAAGACTAACACCACACTAAGATAGTCTAACAGGACTATTCATAAAAGGGGTGAAGAGTTTGGAGAAGAGAGGAGAAGGGAACAATCTAGGACAACATAGCGGATTTGGAAAAATTCTCCAATTCAGCTCACATTTCAGTTCAGCTCTGTTGTCCTAGATTGTTTCCTTATCCGGCCTTCTCCAAACTCTTCACCCTTCTGTGAATAGACCTGTAAGAAGATCTAGCTCCAGGCCTTCCGTTCCAGAACGATTGCGAGTGTGGTTCTGTTAGGGAAGAAAGATCAAAGGCATGACCGGCGGCGAATTCCTCAAATTTTACTATACACATTGCAAGTGGAGCTTTTCGGAGCATTCTGAGGAGCATTCTAGTCCTTCCAGCCTCCTTTCTATTTCCGGGGATGAAGGGCCACCTTACCTAGAGATGGGTGGAGATTCTCGCCCTAAGACAGTAACTGAGGAAACGTTGGAAGAGATATCGGAGGACACAGACTTAAATGTACTGACAGGAAACCACACTCTGCGTGGCCAATGAGGGAGAATCGCTAGAGTAGTGACGTCTTCTCTGAGAAGCCTCGATAGAAAACCTCATGATCAGAGCAAGTGGAGGAAACGCCTAGGCCATGCTGAATTACTAACAGTGCATCGTGTCATCCATCCCTTCCACACTGCAATGTGGCCAATAGGAGAGAAGTCAGGGAAGTGTTTGATTGGCCAGCGACGCAAAGTGATTGATCTGCGGACAGCCCCATAAGTTGTACAATCTTCTCAAACACCTCGGGATGGAGATGCAGGTCCCCAACAAGCTCATGCAGTGGGATGCAGTCACCTAGCATTATGCCGTCACCTCCCAAATGTCTGCGCATCACTACTTTCTGTGGGGAAAGAGATTTGCAGACCATGTGAAAGCTTGCCCCCAGATAAGTCATCTGTTGCATAGGGTCACGCTGGCCTGAAGGTAGTCAGAGTCTGCAAGTGAAGGTCTCTGTGGGCCAGTAACAAAGAGCGACTGTGGGATGCCATCTAAATTCTAAACAATGGTGAACCTGTAATCCCTTCTCTCGGAGTGAGGATGACAAATGTTCTGGGAGCAGTGGGGTGCCCGAACAGAACACTGACAACCTGAAGATGTCTTCTTTTAACAATGAAGTGCAGAAACCTCTGAAAGGCCGGGAGGATTGAGATATGAAAAATGTTCTTGTTTCCCATGTCTATTACCAATGTGGCTCTGGAGTCGGCCTGAACCTCATGTGTACCCCTTCTTCTAGTGCCTTACCCATGTACACTCCTGTGTTCCCATAGCACTACTGGGCTTCCATGCCTCTAGCAAACCCTGCACTCTTGAGTCTCTGTGTCCTGTGCTCTCGGTGACCCCTGTGCACTCGTTACCCCCTGCGATCCCATCGCTCTGGTACACGCCAGTTACCTCTGTGTCTCCTGTGACCCCCAGCATTCCTGTGATCCCAGTGCTACCAGTGACTCATGTATTTCCAATGACCCCAGTGTTCCTGTTATCCCATCATCTCCAGTGATCCAAATACTCCTGTGCTAACATTGTCTCCCAGAGCATCCTGAGTCACCTCTCTGCTCCCACTGTGACACCTGCTTCCCTGCGCAGCCTCAGGTACACTCCTGTATTCCGAGACTGACAGTGTATATGGACCCCCGTAGGGGACACCTTCTCTATTAACCCAATTTCTGAATGCCTGATGTTAACTAGCACAGCTACCTACCAGCGAGTGCTTCACTTAGATGATCCATCATTACTACAGCATTCCAGACTTGAAAGAACATAACTACATATACAAGACACACATACAGGATTATAATAACTGAAATCTCTTTTAGATTCTTCAGATCAGTATAATCGTGTACATGAAGCTCTACACTACCTGAAAAGTACAACGAAATCTCTGCGTGTGGGCCCTCTATGATGTGTACACCCCTAATGGTCAATCTTGCTGGAGCATTGTGTTGACACCTCTTCTGATTTATATGCAAAAAGAAATTAAAAAAACAAACAATTTTACATAATACCAATATTTCTGGCTTATTAGATATACTTGAAAACGGAGCTTCCATGAGAATAAAAGGTCCGCTCTACTGAAAGCTCTCCCAGTACTAATAGTTCTAAAAGAGAAGGGACAAATAAAGTTATTTGAAAAAAATTAAACCCTCAAACCGATTACGGCCCTTCCGGGAGGTGCAGGTTATTGTACCGTGCCTATGGCACTGTGGTAACATGAAAGGTAAAACGTGTTGATGACTGACACCCCAATGCAACTTCTCAGCTCAGCTGCATTCCACTACAATGTGCACTAAGACACTAAAACCAAAAATGCTGCAAGCACCAATTTTGGTCCATTGGGGCAACCCATTCCAATGAAAAGGCTGCCATAACGCAAAGCACTTTAACATGCGTGTTTTGGCAGACTGCAATGGGCTCAAAGCGCTGACACCCAGGAAAGCTGTGCACTTGAAATAGCATGCTGCTGCAATGGTCTGGCGCCTCTCAAATCAGAACTAATTATTTTTTTGGGAAGAACTTTATTCAGAGCTGTCGGTCGAGCTGACCTTTAATTTCCATGGAAGGCCCCTAATGCATCATTTGAGTTGTCATGGGGACTGTCTGGACCTGATACCAATTTTATTAGTAGGAAGAAAAAAAATGTTTTTTTTTTTTTTTGGAAGAAATTTATTTGGCATTGACGTTATGGTCGGTAGAGCTGACCTTGCACTTTCATTGGAGATATCTAATGCATTGTTGGGGTTGTCACGGGAACTGTGTGGCCCTGTTACCACGTTTATAAGTAGGATAAACATACAGGTGACAACCTCCTGCATGAGATTTTTAATGCATTTTTTAGATATTTGTATTAGCTTATGTTATATGAATGGGGACAGGTAACAAATATAGGTGTTATCCCTTTTGGCAAAAAAACGTGGAAATACACTTGAAGTCTTTTTTCCACGCAGCGCAGCCAGTCATGAGCAGGAATCACATGGTGGCTCTGCCAGCATAGAGATAACTACAGCCCACATCATGTCCAGACATCCGCCCGGACTCACAATTCATTCTAGGCCTTGTGGATTTGGCCTGCCATGTCTGCCCACACAGCAACGGACGGGTTAAACGAAGACACGTCACCGGCCGGACACATGTCTGCTAGAGGTTTCAGTTATTTACACGCCATAGGCCGCCATTTTGCCGAAGACCAAAACTCGTTCAGCAGCAACGTGAACGACGCAGGGATGGGGACGTACAGCGTTCGCAGAGAGTTCCATTACGTGACCGGATGACGCTGTGGGACGTCATCACCCAGCGCCTCCCCTGAAACACGTGAGTGAGAAGGAGCTGCAGTCCGGGGTTCAGGGATCAGGTAATGGGGATATAATGGTGGTCCCGGGGTTGTGAGGCCGCTCTGTGCTGTGATCTCTGCTGCCAGACAGGGTGTATTACTCAGGGGGCGCCAAATCCTCTATATCACATAGCAGAGTAGTATATGTGATGGACACGTGTGTACTGCATGGAGAACATACTGACAAGAACTGCTCTGTTTGTACTGGGACCACTTGCTGTATTGATGTCACTCTGTGGCCACTTTTTTAGGTACATCTATTTACTGTCTTCACCCCCATTTTACCTTCCAGTGTATCTAAAGGTAAAACGTTTAAATTTGGAGTGGTGATGGGGATAGAACCGCTGTCAGGTTTTTAATTCTCCTTGTCCCTGTTTAGGAGATTTGTACTGGAGACCATTGTCACTAGGCCTGACAGTGAATGAGAAATTAAAATTGTGGGGTAGGACATCTTTCAGTGGGGACCGTTGTTTTGGTGACCACAGTCTGCGGGGATTTCTCTCGTGTCAGAGATTTTCTCTCACTTCCTGTTGCATCTACAGAACAGGAAGTTAAGGGAAATTTCCCAGCTGCTGGCACAGTGACTCCTGAACACAATAGCTGCCATATGGGATTCCTCTTTGTGCTGTTTAGAGTGGGTGTGAAATCTAATGATGTCTCTTGTTCAGCCCGCGGAGACGTTCCAGAGAAATCTAACAGTGTGCAGCCAGCTTTAGTATCACACCGATCAGACAACACAGCCACACGAGGGTCTGAAAGAGGCGGTTTGCCTTTCCTCCATCCGTACACCAGAAACTAATGACCAGAAGATCTTTAGGACCAAATGATTCAGCTTCTGTTTATATGGAACTCTTCCCAGATTCTCCCTGGAATGTTTGATCAGCATCCATGAGGTGTCACTCGTCACGCAGGGATGGCCAAACTGCGGCCCTCCAGCTGTGGTGAAATAAATCCCATGATGCATCTCTCTCCAGGAGTCATTTCTGTGGCTGTGAGAATCTTGCAAAGCCTCATGGGATTCGTGGTTCCACCACAACACAGCTGGAGGGCCGCAGTTTGGCCATCCCTGCTCTAGTGTGATTAATGTTCATTCCTTGATGATCCAGTACTGCCAGTCCACCAATCTGTGCAGGCAGGGCAGCAGTCTGTGTGGCCTCTGGCAGCCCTCGTTCTCTAGTCCAGGGGTAGGCACAGCTCCGGCCCACCAGCTGTGGTGCAACTACAAATCCTATTAGACATTGCCTGGCTCCCAGAGACAGATGCATGGTGGGATTTGTAGTTTCACCGCAGCTGAAGGGCCAGTTTGCCTACCCCTGATCTAGGCCATGGCGTATGTTGGCCATGCAGAATATAGAAAATTATTATCTCATACTTATGAGGAAAAACCAGGAAAGGAAAATGACCATGTCAGTATTCACCCCATGGGTCAGCTCCGCCCCATGGGTATGCTGACACGGGAAGGCCAGGCAATCTGGCTCTGACTGCTGCAAAAACTTCCATCAGCTTGAACAGTTCTCAGCATTCTCCTCTGCCAATGTTTAGTAGAGCCCGACTCCAGTCCAAAGAGGAAACACACGCAGCAAATCATGTCAGTGCACCTTGATAAATAACATGTGACCTAACATTAGAATGGGGTGGATATGTGATCCTAGTGACTTTAAAACCCAACTCCGGCCACAAGACCAAGAAAAGCAAAATTGTCTCTCCAGCTGTGGCGCAACTACGAATCCCATTAGGCATTGCAAGACTCTGACAGGCATGACTCCTGCATTGTAGTTCCACCACAGCTGGTGATCGTCGGGGGGTACAAGAAGAGATTTACTTACCTTAATGCCAGCTCCTGCAGGCTCTCTCCTCATCTCCCTGGTGCTCTGGGCTGTGGCCGGCCCCTCTTCATTACGTACAATGAAGGGCTATTAACCCCGCATTGTACATAGTGGAGGAGGCCAGTATGCGGCCATTGCTGGGAGCGCCTTAGAGAGGTGGCTATGCTGGAGCAGTCACATGGATGGAGGGAGCATGCCAGAGCAAGGAGAAAGGCAAGTGTTATTCCTCATCCTTGTACCCCTACATCTAATGAGCAGGTAACCCTTGTGGGGGGAGGGGGGTCACTGCAAGGATTTGTTTTTGTATTATAGAGACAAAAAAAATATGCAACAACCACGTCTCCTGGCTGCTAAGAGGAACTGTGAGCTCACTTTCCAGCTGTTTACACTATCCTTATATTCTCAGAGCTGATCAGAGTTGTCACAACATCCCTGCACCATGGGTAGGAAGCTGGACCCCCTGAACAAAGTGCCCCGCGGACCGGGCCGAAAATCCAGAAAACAGCCCGGAGCAGAGAATGAGCTGAGCAAAATCCTAACTGATGGTGAGTGGTGACAAGATCCTTCCACCAGCAGAGCCCAGTGTGTACTGTACAGATATGCAACTTGTATATGAACAGAGCCCAGAGTGTACTGTACAGATAATACAACCCGTATAAGAACAGAGCCCAGTGTGTACTGTACAGATATACAACCCGTATATGAACATAGCCCAGTGTGTACAGTACAGATATACAACCCGCATATGAACATAGCCCAGTGTGTACTGTACAGATATACAACCCGTATAAGAACAGAGCCCAGTGTGTACTGTACAGATATACAACCTGTATATGAACACATCCCAGTGTGTACTGTACAGATATACAACCTGTATATGAACAGAGCCCAGTGTGTACTGTACAGATACACAACCTGTATATGAACAGAGCCCAGTGTGTACTGTACAGATACACAACCTGTATATGAACAGAGCCCAGTGTGTACTGTACAGATACACAACCTGTATATGAACAGAGCCCAGTGTGTACTGTACAGATACACAACCTGTATATGAACAGAGCCCAGTGTGTACTGTACAGATACACAACCTGTATATGAACAGAGCCCAGTGTGTACTGTACAGATACGCAACCTGTATATGAACAGAGCCCAGTGTGTACTGTACAGATATACAACCTGTATATGAACAGAGCCCAGTGTGTACTGTACAGATACACAACCTGCTGCCCGTCATTTGTCAGGGTGGGTTTCCTGATTTGGACAACAGTATAAAATGCCTCTGTGATGCTCATGAACATGACAGATTGTAGTCTCCAGTGGCAGAGCGTTCAACAGGGCGACCACACAGAACAATTGTAAAACAGGACAGAGCGTTGTCACCTTATAACATGGGGTACCCGAACAAGGACCTTGATGGCAGGACCACCAGAGATTATTCTGAAAGCTGACAGTTTAAAAAAAAAAAAAAAAAATGTCTTTTGCAACTTTTTAACAAATGAAAGCTTCTCTGATGTCCCAGTGTTTGTTTACATGGAACTGATGGTTGGGGTTTGTTTTTGTTCTTTTAACTTGCTTCTAAAGAGTTATTCCACTGAAAACGTCATTTTATGTTTGTAGACTCTGATCAGAAACGTATGTCAAGTCGCAGCCGCCAAAGGTAAAAATGAAACTATATTTAGTTTTTTTTGTGTAATCCATTTTAATTAAAGTTTGACAGAAAAAAAAACACAGCACAGATGGTGAAATGTCATTTACACAAAGGATAGATATACAGTACATGGAGAGATAGATACAGTAGATGGAGCGTTAGATACAGTAGTGGGATGGATACAGTAGCAAGAGAAAGATAGATATACGATATCTACAATAGATGGAATCGATCAGCCATAACATTAACTATGACAGGTGATTGACATTGATTTGATCTCATTACAATGGCATCTGGAAGTGGGGGGATATACTACAACGGCGCCTGGAAGTGGGGCGGATATACTACAACGGCGCCTGGAAGTGGGGGGGATATATTACAACGGCGCCTGGAAG